ACTATTTTTTTTAAAAAAGGATTAGCAATTTGAATTTCATCAATTATATTGGTTGGGACTAGGTTGTCTGCACTGTAATACAAATTACTTAACCAAGTATTAAATCTTGAATTATACTGTAGTACAAGCTATTTATATTTAAGATTTAACTTTGAATTATTTATTCAAAATTTTTATTAAATTTTATTAAGCAATTACAGTATTAAAAAATCTTTGCTAGAAGATTTAAAATTTTTTAAAATTAAAAAAAAACTTTTATTCTAATTAGCACAAATTAGAAAATTATTGTATAACAAATAAATTATTAAAAATATACTGTATACTACAGTATACAGTATATAATTTGTTCTATAGTTATATAAACTGTATTATTAATAGGTTTTGTTAAAATTTTTTATTCTTATACTTTATAAATATACTGGTATATAAAATTTAATTATTGGTTTATATATATTTTTAAAAATATAGTAGGCTTATAGTAAAAACGAAAAATTGATAAGTTTGAAAATCATAATATAGTACTTATTATTTAGAGATAGTTTTTATATACTATCTACTAATAGTTTCAGAGTTTATTATTCATTGTAAAAAATAGCACTTGCTATTTAGAAATAATTTTTATATGCTATTTGCCAATAAGCATATAGTTTATTATTCACTAAAAAGTAAAAGTATCGGCATTTTTTTTTTTTTCTATAAAGATTTATAAATAGATAATTATATTTTTAAAAAAGAAAAATATAACAGTTTACAAAACAAGAGTAACAAGGCTTAAGCTTCTATTAAAAATTTGTTAAATATTACATTTCAATAACACTATTGTTGGTATTAAAAAAAAACAAACTACTGCACTAAAAAATCTAGCAGTTGGGGTAGAATACCCGTTTTCTAATATTTTAAGACCCACAATATTAATACCATTTATTGCATACTTGAAATATAATACAAAAACAGGTTTTAAAAAATAGCAAAAACAAACATAACGTTATGATTCTTCGAATTATTGAAGCTAAAATCCTTAAATTTATCTTCAAATTATAATGACAGAAATTACCTATGAAGAATTATGAAAGTCGTACATGATATCAGATATATATGCTTGTTTTACGATCGTAAATTATTAAATATTCTGACTTTATTCAGAGGAAAGAACATCGCAAGATTTGTCAAAATGAGTTACGATAATCAAGACATCTAATTGAGAAACGTAATCATTTTACCTTCTGTAATGGTTGTTTTAATGTAACAACATGCAAAAATAAATGTTTAATACTAGAATTAAAGCAATTAAATTTATATTAGATACTTCAGTACTTCAAACAATTAAATTAATGTATGTATGCGCCCTCAGTAGCGATATTTGAATGAGAAATTTGACCAATCGCGCCATCATTTAATCAATCAAAAGGGCGTAAGGAACCTCTACGAATAGGTACCACATTTCCATTGATAGATTCGCGTAAATTTGTGACTGAATTTGATTTCGAAATTGAAGAATCCCGAAGACTTGTTGAATTTGAGGATCGTGTCGATGAGGCCAGTGATTCTCTTGATGTTCTCAAAAAAAGATTAGAGTCATCAATGATAGGTTGACTTGAATAGGTCATGAAAAATTTTAATTAGATCACACGTGTTAACCATCAAAGACTACAATATACAGTACCAGACAGGACAAGGAAATTTAAATTGGTATGGTTTTAAAATAAAAATTTCTCTTGCATTTAAGTTTTTTTTTTATCTAAATAAGTCTGTAAGAGAGATTTTTAATTTTTTTTAAAAAAACATAACAATTTGGAATATCTAAACTTTAAAAATTTGGCGGTATATATAATTTTATAATCTTGTTCTGTATGGTACTGTACAAACAGAGACCAACCGAAATCCATTCCAAGATTGTTTTTTAGTTACAGTAGGTATAGATGTGGTAAAACTTCCAGACGCCACATTTTGACAGTAATCGGTTGTATTTCCAAATTTTTTGTCAATAACTTTTTCGAAAAACGCATCAATCTTTTGCGCTGATATGGAGTTTTGGGCGAAATGTGTTGGTGCCAGAGTACACTTTGGACGATGAATAATAGATAATAAAATAAGCTCAAGATGATAAATTGAATTAATTGACGATTCGCGATAGTAGGAGAATATTTTATTAATAAAAAGGTGGGGCAAATTTTTATAAGTATTATTATAGATGTAGAAATCAGCATTCCTGATATATGCAGCTTTTTTTTTTTATCAAGTAAAGGTCATTATAGAACTTCACGTTATTCAAAAAGAAACCTTAAATTCGAATGTGTCGCCTTTATTTAGAAACTATAAAATAAATTTCAATTTCTCTTCTGATTCTAATGGTGGTTAAATCATCAAAATCGGCTTGTGGATCGCGAGATATAGTCATTTTTATCTTCGCGATTATATAATTTTCTTTACAGATCTGCAAATAAATTTTATATAGTCACGAAGATAAAGATGACTATATCTAACGATCTACCAAGCCGATTTTGATGATTTAACCACCATTAGAATCAGAAAAACTGCCTCTACAACTTTTATTAAAGCTTCAAGAGACCTTTACTTGATAGAAAAAAATTGTATATATCAGGAATACTGATTTTAACATCCATAATAATACATATAAAAATCACCTCACTTTTTATTAATAAAATATTATAAATATTCTCTTTCTATCAATTAAGTGAAAAATGATAACATACCAGATTAACGCATTCGCCTCCATATTCGTCAACGATGCTATATCGCCGTTGACGGCCCGTCAATTCTTGTTTGACAAGATCAGCCTTAGTTCCAACCACTAAAATCGGTACACTTGCATGTCTTTCTCCTATCTGTAATTCAAAATCGTAATCTAAACAAGCCGATAATTTTGCTTAATTTTTTCAATGCATTTTCATAACTTGTGATGTTGGCCTAATGTTATGTTTACGTACCATTTGTACTATTAAAGCTCATAGAACCTCCACTCATCCAGCTTCCTAACCCGCTCCCACTTCCTGTACCCCAATTTGCATTGGCAACGTTATTTACTCTCTCACTCTCTTTGTAAGCTTCTGAGTAAATCACTTCGGCAATCCATTTCCAAAGATTATGATAAGATTTTCGATTGCTGACATCATGCACCAAAATTATTCCATTAATTTGATGATAAAACATATTCCGTGAAGATTTATGTTTCGACGTTCCTCCAACGTCAATGAATTCCACAAAATATGTTTTGTTATTACGAGAATGCGTATGCATCTATATTTATGGAGAATCAATCGTGAATGTGTCAAAAAATTAATTAAATCGAAAGTGTAAAATCTACCTTCACATCAACAGAACAACCGATCGTCCAGGTTGGGTGTCGTAGTGCTTCATTATGACAGAGTATGTGAACTAAGCTAGTTTTCCCCTATATACGAGGAAAAATCGTAAATTTAGTAACTCCGTTTTGTTTTATGCGGATCCTGCTAATTTCCGAAAATGCAATAACATAGCAATTACCACACCAGAATCCCCTACAACTACAAGGCGTATTTTGTCGTAGTGTTCCATTAACGTTCCAATAAAGTGCTTTTTTTCAATAATTCTACAAGTTTATCGTCGCGTGAAGCTCATGTGATAATTATCGTAATTCAAAAAAATGTAGCTGCAAGTTTTGTAACACAAAAGAAATTAATAAAATTCTAGAAAATTACTATTTTTTACTGGTAATTCTGTAATTAGAGTATTTGATGTTACCAGATACGTTGGGGTGGTCGGTCAACTAATTAAATCAAACATATATGTAGACCCATAATAAAAACAATTAGGCAATTTTTTT